CAAACAAGAACGGCAGCAGCAGCCGCATCAGCAGCAACAACTCACACATGTGTTACGTTACAGAATTTCGATGTCGGTTGATCGATTTCATCGGTAGATTTTTCGGCGTTTCAATAGAGAAATAGTTGGATCGACGGCGATCGAAACATTGGTAAAGCGCGTTCATTTGATTTGTGTTGGAATGCCGTAATGTCGTTGTATCCACATTGATACGTGCCGGTTGATCGGTCCATTTTGGTGCGAGGTTAAAACCGATTTGTTATTCAGAAGAACAAAAAGAACGACGACAACGACGACGATGAAAAGGATCAAAGTCGATTCCGACTAGCGACACTCTTCCAGTGTCGCCTTGTCATTTAAAAATTTGTTTAATGCGACTCAAAATGAAAATTGGTAATCGTCATTTGCAATCCGATTGATTTGGTGAGTGGCGTTTGTTCCAGGCCATAGTGTCTGTGTAATTAAGGTATATTCCGTAAAGGACGTGAAATTTATTGCTTAATTTTCCTTTGGTATACCTGAAAAGTGCATTATATAAATGCAATTCAAACACTTTACGACCGGGTTAATGCTTGAAAAGAATGCGTCACCGTCGTCTTCGTTGTTGTTTTTTTTACTTTCAATTGACACACCGGGAGAGAAGAGACACGGAAAAAAGGAAGTGGATTTTTGTGATCGAGTGATTCGGTTCGATCTCCTTTTCATTCTGTATCTTGTGTCTTATGGCAATCAAATCGTAATCGAAAGCACCAAAGTATTTTCAGTCATAAAATTTGCATTTTTCAATCTTCTTTCTTCTTCGACTCATGGCTCGGTTCTGTTTCTTCATTGAAAAAGCCTGTTTCTTTTTGATTTGTTTACCCGTGTAAAAATCAGCATTCGAAAGCAATCGTTCAGTTCTGTTGCTTTCATTTAAATCGATTTTTTTCGGATTTTTTAGTTAATCGATTTCCTTTTATCCGCCGCCAGGTTTCGAGTGTATGCTCGTCTCTCACAAAACGAAAAAAAAAACACTCGAAAATTCATTCTTAATATGGAATGATGCCACCGACAGAAGTTACGCAATTGAGTGTTTTTTTTCTCTCGGTGAGAGGGATTAATTGATCATTATTTCGTGATTTAATGCGGAAGCAATGCCGATATAATTCGAAAGTTAACGGGATATGCACAGATTATATTGCGTTTTGCACACGCAAGAACGTCAATTTTCGTTCTTGTGCCAATTCACATGGCAAACTGTTGTGTGAAACATTTTGATCACATTGAATCGAATTGTACACACGTTTTTGATTTTCTCGGGCCATCATCGATATTCAATTCTCTGTCTGACGATAAAAATGTTTTCGCTGCCCGTTAAATGTTCATCGACGACGGAATTTGCATAAAAATCACGTTTGCTGACAGCAACACATTAAAACAAATATTGTCGCCGCTGCGTCAACCAACTACTGTCGTAGACTCATTTTAATATCAACATCAACGACGAAGACGATATGGCATCTGAAAAACAGTGGAAAGAGACATGATATGAACAAAGCTCGCTTAGATATTTTGTTCGATTTCATTTGAGTGCGGGTGCAGAAAAAAACAAATAAACGGCATCTCCAAAAAGTCTCGAAAACCACACAAAGAAAACCATCAACTTCGACAGCACACCGAATTAATTTATTGGAATTTATATTTATTTCGGATTGATTATTTGCATTCACTCTGTACCATCATCAATCGGGTTTTATTTGGCTTGGAACGCGAGCGTGCGCTTCACAACACCACCACCAAACGTACGATGATAGAGCGACAGAATCAGAGAAAAAGAGATGAAAAAAACCATTCGTAATTTGCAAACGCGCGCACACTCCAAAGAATTCCATTTTGCAATGCGAACGAAAGAGGCAGAAGAAATGTTTGAGGCGCGCGCGCGTGAGCGGCAATCCAGAGAGAAGATACAACAAATTTATTGTGTTGCGTCGAAAGCCCATATAACGCATCACTCTGACCGTATTTTATTCGTACTTTTGTTATGTTTTTTCCCTGTGTGTGCGCATATTCTTTTCCGTTTTTTCGTTCATCCTGCACCGGCGGGGCAGACACATCGACACATTTATTTAACACATGCAAGAAAATGAAATGCGCCTGCGCCGCGAAACACAAAATTCGCATTAAGTAAAAAGCATTTGTTAATGTATTTTTAATAATTTTATTCTTTTTCATATAAAAATTCATTTCTCGCTCTCGCTTGCGCAAATCCGATTTCTTTGTCTCGCTGTTTCGCTCGGTTGCGCGCTTTCTTCTTGAGCGGGTGCGGGTGCGCGCATCTTCACTTCTTTTATATTCAACTCAATTTATAAATGTTGTCGGTGTGCTAGGTCGACATTGTTTTGACTGTTTTCGGGATTATCACGGATTAAAATATGCGCGCGAAAAAGAATCTCAAGAATCTGCTTCACCTTCCAAAGCGACGGAGAGACTACGGTTGTCTTCGTTTCTTTATTTAGAATGCGCGCTGACATTTGAAGACCAGATTAATAACAATGTATTTATCAATCAACCGCAATAATCCCGATTCAACACAAAACCGATCGAAACAATGGAATTTTATACGAATTCATCGATTTGAATTGTATCCATATGTGAAATCCATTTTATTTGCAAAATCGGCAGCTAGATATTAATCATCTGCTAATTGAAATATCGGTTAGGCTTCGACATTCGAATCTACGATTTTTCAAAAAAAAAAAAAAAAATAACGAATAAAGAAGTCTCGTTAGCATATTTTATATGCTAAATTGGCCGATGAATCCATCACACTCTGGCCAGTATACAACTAGCGGCTTCTTTAATCGTTTCTCCGATCATCAATTTTAGAACCTGTGCCTAAGCCCATTTTCCACTGCGCGTAATTAATGACCAATAAATCATTTTAAATTCATATTATTGTTTTTTAAGTGGCGAAAAGAGAACGAAAGACGAACGAGAAGGCATGTCAAACGTAAAACCACAAAACTTACTCACATCGCGACCGCTCGACGGACGGAGACGACAACGACAAAAAACCAACAACAACAACAGCATCGAAACGATAAGTGATTTAAAAGAAGAGAAAAAAAAATTAGTTGCTCTTAGCCATACGTCGGTACTGAAACTTGTTAGCGTCAATTGAATTAAAATGAAAAATTAACCAATCGTCAAAAACAAACGAAAACACAGCTCAAGGAAATAGACGCTAGAGCACCGCCATTTATACGTGTTATTCGTTTGAAACAGGTACGATTGCCGCACGCGATGCTGTTTGTTTCTCGTTTTTTGTTCCATATGATTTCGTTGCAACGTGATTATTCTTCGACTTTTTCATTAATTCAGTGATATACATACCGCTGTTTTTGGTTGTGAAAAAGCGCGTTTTCCATCATCAATCACCTTCTTTGTGATTGATGTCGATAAACTGGGCCACCGAATCTCGAATTTGTATAAAACGTACTCATTATTTTTTAGCCATAAATCACTTTTCGGCAACCGATAGAGTAAAAGAAACATTGGAAAGAGTGAGCCAGTTTTACCCATACACAGAAGGAAGCAAACACAAAAATTGATAATCCTTGAACGCACTTCTGCAATCATGAATGATGATCCAATTCGAAGTTGAACTTGTGTTAATTCGACTCAATGTATTTCTTTCTCTTAATTCGATTTGTCCATCGTTTTGAGGCTTTTGAGTTGGGTCCGCGATGCGGAGGTGATGAAATACTCGAAAATATGTGCGTGTAACGCCGTCGGTCAACGTAAACATCAGTTGATAAAAAGTGTGTGAAAACAAAGCGATTTCGTTATCTCGCCTATGATTACTGTGTGAAGGCAACGGGGAGACAGAGAGAGAGAGGAAAAAGGAAGAAATTAACTGAAAATAAAATAAGAAGCTTTTTTTCTCTCTCTCTCGTGAGCCGAGAAAGAAATGCAAATAAAACAAAATCGCGCGAAGAAGTCCCGCGCTGATTACAATTGCGCGCATGTGAATTTATTGTCCTATCCATACGGCACAGCTGCACAATGTAATCGCGACTCTTTTTTTTATTCAAACGTAAATTGACAATAATAATGAAATGCATTGGAATTGTGTGTGTATAATCAAATTAAAAGGTATTATTATGATTTTAACGTTGTCTATGGTTTGTATGTTTTTTTCCGTTCATCGTTTGGTTTGTGTTTACGACTCGTCAATTTGCGCTTCGAGTCCGATAAAAAGGAGAAATGAAATCAACGTTGCGTAAACGAGGTAATCAGACTTATTCAGGCTCATTTGTTTGCAATAAGCATACAAACAGTTGTTGTTTTTGTTTCTCTTTCAAATGATTAGTGCGAACTTCATATGCCATCCGTTAAATTACGGTGATAATTATTGTTCTTTCACGATTCCGCTCTGTGTATGTGTGTGTGTTTTTTTCCCGACTGTTTTTTCAATTTTGTTATCGCAATTGCCATTACAAATGAAATGGCCATTTCCATATTCCATTGCGAGGTGAGCGCGCTCACTTTAGATATTTTGTTACAGTTTTACAAGAGCCCATTGAATTTTAAAAACAACAACATCAAAAATAATAAAATAAACAGCCGAGCTCAACGGTGACGGTGGCAGAGAAATTAAAGCGTGTGGACGACATTATACGGGCATTTGGAATGCATTTTTTTTCTTCAGCAGAAAAAAAGCGATAGATAAAACCATTTGAAAGTTAAGAAAAATACCATAGTCAAGCAAGCACAAGAACAACCATATTATACAATCCACAAATGCGTTTGTTGGTTTCACAGGCTGATATGGACACAATTACAGTAAATACACACATTGTTACTGCGAATTGAACATAATTACCTAGCGGCAATAATTCAAATCGAAAATTTCGCATTTGCTCACAATTCACGAATTTTGACACCTTGAAATGATGCGGGACTGGCATGGCATGGAGGCGGCTATTTTCCGAAAAAAAAGTGTTGCCTTTATTACGAAAGTTTGTCGAAAGGCACGTGATATTTTCGATTCGGCCCCATTAATTTGATGTGTTTGCAACCACAAAATTGTTGCTAGTTCCACCGTTGAACACCAAAATTTCCGCGCACCGATGAAAACAATGGTCCTTGCACTATCATTTCTTCGAACCATAGAACACATCGCTCATTGTAATTCAATACAATTTATCGTTGAAACATAAGAATAGCTGCTGTTTTCTTCGGATTCACCCCTCTGTAAAGGAATGTTTGCTTATCGAAGCAGCGGGCGGAAGTTTTATTTATAAATAATTGATAAAAAAAATTCAATTTACGTCAAGGTTTAGATCGGAATTCCAATGGGTGAACAAAAACGCAACGTAGTAGAGTAATATGAGCTATTTAGAAAAATGGTGTATTTTATGTGGAACATTTATACATATCATTAGCGCCCGCAACTGATAATACAAGTCTTACAATTGGGCATACTTAATTTTTTTCTTCTTCTTCATTCAAACTGATAACACAGAACACATTTGGATTGAGCGATAATTTTGATTGTTATGCTTCTGTTTATTTTTTTTCTTCGTTTCCATACACTTCGGTTGTTTTGTCAAGTGGAACATTATCGCTTAAATATTTAAGAATACATATATTTCAGCAATTACATTATTTTTCGTCGTAAAGTGCCATTTTTTCTTTCTGTTCAACTTAATGTTATCTCGCACAGCCAGCGATAATTTTTGTTCGAGTGAAACAGAACATCCATGATGTGTGTATACTTCACTTTTTCAACATCCTTTTTTCGGAACGAGCGCTCGATAACGCTTATCGAAGAACAACCGTCGAATCGGACAAACGAATCTGCAAGAAATGAGACACATCGTGTTATTATTACATCCAAAATAGAACCGACCACATTTTGACATTTGTCTGCGTCAGTCTCTTCCGAACAAAACGGTTCCCACAACACGAATTGAAAACGGAATAAATAAAAAAGAAAATAGAATATGTGGAAAATGGGAATTTAGTCGATGAAACTGAATAGATTATGGTTTCGTTGACATTCGAGCGAATTGAATCTCCGAAAACGGCAGTAATTAATAAATATCAAAATACCGCACCGTGTGAAAAGTAAAAATATCTAAATTTAGAAGTTGTTTCTATTTTTTAAAATAACTAATGATTTCATTTTTTCAACTCTTTTCTTCTCTCCTTTCAGATGAACTAAGACCGGAAAGCTTGACTCGATTGTTGATTTCAAGGAAAAAAAAAGTGTTTGAAAAATTATTGTGTGAACTCTTGAAAAAATTGAATCGAAAATCGTTAAAGACAAGGAAAAAAAATTCGTCGTGTTAAAAGAAAGAAGAGAAAAAAAAGAAGTGATCATAAAAAAGGAATTAAAATAAGACTTTTTGTGTTAGTTTTTTTCCAATTCAGTTAAAAATGTTCCATTCACCAACCACGTACTCCGATATGACAGCGAGCGTTGGAAATGTGTCCGGTTATCACCATCATCATCAAGCGCCAAGTTCGAATTCGCCCGTTTATGTGCCATCAAATCGGGCGTTACAGCACGGCCAATACACTGGTCATGGGTCAACATTTGGTCATGCAGCAACCACACAAAATGGTTGGCAAGCCGAAAATTTCACCGCGCATAACCCACTCGCTCCACAATTTTATGGACAGAATATAATGATGGGCACATGGAGACCATACGATCCGCGTAGCTTCCAAAGTACATCACCATACGATGCGATGGATTTTACACTTGGCGAAGGACGTGAATGTGTGAATTGTGGTGCAATTTCGACACCATTGTGGCGTCGTGATGGTACTGGCCATTATTTGTGTAACGCCTGCGGTCTCTATCACAAAATGAACGGCATGAATCGTCCGCTCATCAAACCTAGCAAGCGTCTCGTTAGCGTAAGTCTATTGAATTCTCTTTCTGTTTCAATTCTTATTCGAACCGAGCGATGTGCGACATCTATTTGAGCACTGTCAAAAGCTCAATAGTCATGACACAAACCATTCGCATGTGAAACCTCTTCCTGGTTGTTTCGAATGCTAAACGCTTTTTTTCTCTTCCGTTTATTACAGACCGCAACCAGACGCTTGGGATTGTGTTGCACGAATTGTGGCACACGAACAACAACACTATGGCGACGCAACAACGAAGGTGAGCCCGTGTGTAATGCATGCGGCTTATACTTCAAACTACATGGTATAAATAGGCCGTTGGCAATGCGAAAGGATGGAATCCAAACGCGTAAACGAAAGCCCAAGAAAAATGGGAGTGGCAATTCAGCCGTTGAACTCGGTCTGAGTAAAAAAGACGACAAAGAAGGTGAGTACAATTCAAAATCACACACACACACACACTCTTAACAAATTCTTTTGCTGCATTCTGTTTTGGTTCACCGCTGTATACGGAGCAACCAACTTGCATGACTAGTTTTTCGAGTCAAATTCTTCATTGTGTTTTTTTAGTTCGTGCTTCATAAACAAAATTGTTAACTTTGTTCTGTGTTTTTTTTTCCTCTTCTTCAGATGTTAAATCGAGCCTAACGCAGAACGAATCAATGCATCTTCATTCGAAAGGCGTCCCTCAGCATTCACCAACACATCATTTGCTATCGAGCACGCCAACATCACGTTCACACTCGATCAGTTCATCTTCCACTTCATCAGCTTCGGCTATACATCATCATCCATACAGCATGCACTCGACATCGACCACCAATTCACCAACCTCACACACCAATGCACCGTCAAATCATTCGTTGATTGGACAAGCAGCGATCCCGTCCAAGTATGACTTTGGACACAACACATCGTCAGCACTGCACAACACACAAACTTCATCCGCAAATCTCAGTAGCAATTTAACGGCCAACACCAACTATGGCATTCATTCAACGAACAATTTGCAAACACCATTGTCCTACAGTAATGTAAAATCCGAATCAAATGCTGGCACCAATTTTGATTACATGAATAGCTGCTTACAAAATGGATACTTCAACAGCTCTTATGGTGCAATCAGTTCGTCGGCCACTGCAACACATCCAGTTTCAGATTTATCCAGTTACCATCACATTCAAGCAGCCAAATTGATGGCCACTTCTTGAATTTTAAACACTTTGTGGCAATCATTTGATGAACATGATCCCGTTGTTGGGATTCATATTAATGAGATGTGGTTTTGGTTTTCATATCAATGCCGATGATGTTTTCGGTTTTAAACTACTTGATGATCATAATTTTATATTAGCCTATATATTCTTTAGCAGTGGTAATATGGGGCAAAATAGCCCAGTTAGACTTTTTAGATTAAGTTATGGAATCTCTTCATTTTGGTTCGATTTAGAATCTCCTTCTCCGAAATATTCTTAAAAGAGAAACATTCATGAAAAAACAATAGAAATGTAGTATTCACCACACAGAATCTGGTAGAATGGCTTGAAAAAGAATTGTTTCACTCATTTTAATTGGATAAGTATCCATTTTTGTATCCTTTCGCGGAATCAAATTCATTTACAAACATAAAATTCATTCACATGTTGAGCAAGCAAAAGTAATTCCATCGAAGAATAGAAGAAAAAATACAGTAAGAAAACGGAAAATAATTTAAAAACGTAATTTTATCATATTTATACTTAAAATGATGACGTAAGATGACACATTTCATGAAATGATCATCGGATAATCACCACAAATAGTGCCTTTTGTTCAAATCAACAATTTGAACACGTTGTTTCTAGGATAGACATAAGTTGCAGAAAGTGAAGCAGCAAAAGTGAGCCTTTTCTTCATTGAATAGTGTAATCATAGATCGCCATAGTTGATCCAAAAAGTGCACAACACTTTTTGTTTTCATTTGTGTTACAAAAGGCGATATGTAGAAAAAGAACATCCCCTTCAGACTAAGATTGATTTAGATAAACAAATTAATGGGAGTCTCTAATAATAAATGCATTGAAAACAAAACAAAAACAATCGCACACTAATTTAATGACAAATATTTTATTTAATTGGCTATTCCATTCACATTCATTCTAATAGTGTAAAGAAAATGAAATTTAAAAAAAAATGTTTCAGAATTAGTAAAATATTAAGTGTTTAGAGTTTAAAAATCTCGATTAAATCATTTTAAGTTCCGAAAAATGTTTAAGACCACATTTATTTAAACGAATTCAATAAAAAAAACATTGCCAATGTGTGCTACTTAAACACAAAAAAACCTGCACATTTTTGATTTTGTTTTCTTTTTTTTCCTGCGAAGGTGCCGATTTCTATAATTGAATTTCTGCTACTGTCTAAACTATGTACATTTTATGTAATTCGGTATCATTTTTTTACACTTAATAAAGTCATTGCTCATCGCTTGTTGTACTATATGGATTTGGACATGTTTGAACCGGAAATACAAAACTCAGTTCAAACTAGTGACGGAAGTGATGTTCGTTGTGGACTGGTTGTGGGTCGTGGATAATAGAAAGGCATGGCATTTGGATGCTGTTGTGATGAGGGCATAAAACTGGGATTTGGATTTCCTTCATGGTACAGAACAGGTACTCGAACAAATCGTTGTGCGGCATGCGCCATATTTGCCATATTGGCTGCCTCCAAATCGGCCGCAATGATTTTCTTCCATTTGTTTCGACGATTTTGGAACCAAATTTTCACCTGCGTTTCGGTCAATCGCAATGAGGCTGCCAATCCGGCACGCTCAGATGAACTCAAGTATCTATAAATGGGGAAATTAGCGGTTAGAGAATTCAGGGGAATTTTTGAGAAAATTTCCTTTTGTCGAAACAGAATTTATGAAGAAAAAACTTTTCTTTATTTAAAATTACTTTTTATGTCAATAGCCGAACGAATCTGAGAAAATACGGAAGAAAAAACTTACTTCTTCATATCAAAAGTCGATTCGAGTTGAAAGACTTGTGCACGCGAAAAAACAGTTCTTGTCTTTTTGTTGCGTTTGCAGTGCATCATTTGATTGTTGCCATCGGTCGATCGTTCCATGGATTCATCATCATCGTCCTCTTCGATTGATTCGTTGACTTCATCGTCTGACTCATGCGATGAGTTCAAGTGTTGGCTTGGTGATGAGGTAGTGGTGGCCGTTTTCGGTGAACTAGTTATGGACGGTGAGTGCTTATCGGGCGACCTAAGCTCTAAAAATTTATCAAAAATAAATCAATTATTCCAAATGGCTGCATTTTTACGACTTTGTTCAACTAAACGGAATAAAAATCTATTTAAATCATTATAAATTAAATCAAATCCCTTAAAACGTTTTCATTTTTCTTTCCATTCCTTCAACAAAAAAGTGATCGGTGTTTGTAATGCGTCGCCGTTTTAGTGGTGACATTCTATTTCTTAACTGAAAATCATGTCAGAATCATTTCGTCCAATTCCAAGCGATGTGTGAAAAAAGACAGGCAAAGGTAGAAATTGGTTATTTAATGTGTGCTTGCGTGACACAAGAAAGTTACTATGAAATTTCATTCGGATTTTCGAATTGTCCAAGAATTTAAAAGAGAAAAACAGTCGACAAAAGAACAACAACATTATGGTCAATCCATAGAAAAAAGTTTTTGGTCGAAAGCAATTTCCTTCACATTTCAGCGCCGGAATTTAATTTAATTGAAATGACAGTTTCGTGAAACGAAAATTTTCTAATGTTGCGGGTGCGATGTGGTGTTTTTTTTCGATCTGCGTGTCACAGTTGAATTAGTTTCCATTCTTGTTGCTGTTGTACACTTGTGGTTTGTTTTTTTTTCTCTTAGTTTGTCGTGAAAAATGATGGAATTTATAGCACTAATCTTTGCGCGTGGAATGTTCGTCCAATTTGCTCAACATAAAAATGAATTTATTTAATTGAATGAAGCGAAAAACCGAAACGATGAATAAAAACCGTACTTGAAACGCGCCCATATAAAAACCCGAAGCGATTTTCTCGCTTCTTCGTTTTTATATTTCTCGTTCATTTGTGGTTGTTGTCGTTGTTTCATTTCGTAATTCCCATTCGAGAATCGGTGGAATAGGAAGAGTCAGAGAATGGTTTTGTGTGGTTAAACATATGCACACAAATCGACCATTAGCGAAAATTAATTAGAGCGAGCATTAAAGAGAGAACGAGTGAGCAAGCGAGCGAAGGTATGAAGAAATGGGCACAGGGAAATGTTATGTTGTGTGTGTGTGTGGCACAAAGACGAGGAAAAATATAATCAATTTCATTGGTCTACATTTTAATTTTCATGAAGTAATCTACATAATAAACGCAATCGCTTACCGTTTGTCGGACTGTGGAATGGCATTCGGTGGTATTGCTGATGTTGTGTCGACCAAGACGACCATTGCGATGGATACAAAGCGGCTAACGCTCCCCATTGCGATATGAAACCCAATCTGAAATGGAAAAGTTTTCGATGAGAATTGCAAATAACCAACAGTGCTATCACAGATATAAGTTTAGCTCTTTCTCTCCTTCTCAATTACGCAGTTTGTATGATAAGTCTCAGTCCTTCATCACCGATTAGTGCTAATTCATCCAAGAAAATTTCGACAACAAATTTTCAATGTCATCGACATCGGGCCGGTTCTCAAACTAATTAAAACATACTCATTCAAGTACAAAAGGCGATTTAATCCACTTCATCAAACACAAATTAATCGAACTGAAGAGGGAAATTGATACAATACACTGTGGAACTTCATTATTTTATACATGCTGAAACTTTGCTCTGCTCTGCTCTGGTAAGCGTGTACAATGCACGAGGGACCGAATCAAGAGTTGAGTATGTGTCAGATGCCTCATTGTGTCAATCATATCATACCATTTCACTTTCATTGTTGAGTTCATTTTATCGATCATCGTTCGAATCACAGATAATAATACCAACTGATCCCAATTTCGCGTGATTTTCCATTTCGGTAACAAAGAGCATTAAACGGAATTTTTATGAATCCAAAGAGAGCGACTACATTAATACCATTGTTAAAATAAATGGTCCGGTGAGATAAATACGAACTGCAAAGGGCGGCATTGAACGGAAAGCGGTAGAGTAAGTAAAATAGAACAGAGAGAGAGAGAGAGAGAGAGAGAGAGAGAGAGAGAGAGAGAGAGAAAGAGAGAAAAGAGTGTTTGCAGATTTCGCATTTTAAGTAGAGCATTTTGAAAGAAGCCAATGGATCTCCTGAGGATTACATGAAAAATCATCACTAGGTACACATAAAGTGGCATTGATGATGAAGAAAGTGCGCGCAAAACTGTTGAAAATGCATCACCAACATACCGCAAATTGTCGAATAAGTAGCTCATAAAATGTTTTATTTTTTGGAGGGATTTAGTTCTGTGCGTTTGTACATGGAACACAACGAATTACGCACAAATGTTACCTCAAAATTGAAAGCGACAGTGTGCGCTCGCTCACTTCCAACAAGAGGGTAAATATTTTTATGAAAATTGGGCGAACCGTTCACCCGTAAGCGTATATCAATGTAAAGAGATCGCAACAACAGCAGCAGCAGCAGAAAAAAAAACTAATGGACTGGTAAGTGAAGAGATATCGCATTTACTCAGACCAGCAACATCCCAACGCACCGCGAATATGCAACAGCAAATCTGTGTTGCTGGTTATGGATGGAATGAAATGGTTGTGTGTTTTTATTGTCGTAAATTCCGTATTAATTTACACAATAAAAGCATTCAAATTGGTGTAAGATAGCTCTATTAAGATTGCCGATTACATTTATATTAATTCGAGCTCTTCTGCTCAATCACTTTTTATTCAGCTAGTTGCTCTATCTATCTTGTCTCGTTGCTCCTTCTATTCACATTTGTTGTTGTTTTTTGGTTTTACCATTTGTCCCGTATGTTACAATAAAAGTTCGCTCTTTTATTTCACCAGAATAAAAAAAAACTGGGTGAATGCGTAATATGAGCATTATGTTTTATATTATTATTGTTGTTGTTGGTTTTTTTCTTCTTCTGTTATTGTTCTCTCTCATTTTCAGTATTCAGTTGTGCCTTTTTGTCTCTGTGATTTGATTGATCGTTTAAAATACAATTTGGATTATGCATTAAGAGCCAAAACGTATCAAGTCATTGGTTTTAACTATATAAATAGCAATCGTCATAATAATTGTAATGGCAACAAAATCGCACACAGCAAATGTGTTTCAGTTGGCGCTCACAGCAGCTCTCGAATTTCCTTCATTTCAGATGGGTTTTTTTTTTTAGACAAGAGAGCAGTGGTTTCTGGTTGCAAATGAAATACAACACATGCACACAAATACGAACGAAATGATTGACGAGAGAGACGAAGAGAACATGTTTCCAAATAGTCGATCAGTTAAGCGCATTACACAACACTCGCACCGAGTCAATTCGAACACAATACGATAAAAGCATTTTCCATTTTACAGGATTTTAATTCTTTTGAAGTAAAGTTACGGTCTTATGTCGCCTTTGCGTTATGTCATTTCAATAGCCCATTCAATTCGAATCAATTTTAAAATTCGGGAAAAGATTTTTCGAATTCGAGGCGGTGAATTTTCAATTTCAATTCCAAATTCTCCGATTAAGGACACTTCCTTATCGAAGAATGTATCGAAAGAACGTGGCGAATGACTATGATTCATTTAGCAAATTAAGTCTTGAAAATCAATCGAATGAAAAAGTTACCCATCACCATTTCGAATGGGGTTGTGGGCTCATTTCAATTTGTTCGTCGACATAAAAGTGCCACATCTCGTGTTCAAAAGCTATAATTCACTTTGGAAGTTGCTCTATTTCAAACATGTTCTATGATTACTTGGTCAATTTGGAACAGAAACAAAAATTAGAATTAGCAGCACGCGTTGGTCATTCCGAATTCCATGTTGTCAATGTTTATCGATGCTCGATCAAAGGGGCAAACCGAAATAAACAATGGATTTGAAACGCATAAAGTGTTTTATTTGCTTTCCCAAAATTGAATAATAATCTAACCTTATGACAACATTTGGAAACGCAGTGCCATCCATCCAACCACTCAATCCATTGCTGCGTGTGTTGGATGAACATGAATGCGTCGCGCACCATTTGAAAACGAAATAGAAACAGAAACAGGAATGAAAAAAACGACGACGACGACGACGACGACGACGATGAAGAAGAGCAAAAATGACAACAGATGTGTGCAGCAACATAATCATGTGTGATAGTTAACATTAGCGTATGTTAGAAAAAAAAGAAGAAGAGAGAAGAATTGGTGAGCGAAGAATGAAATTGAGTTGCTGTTGGTGGCAATAGAGTTCAATCGGCCTTTATATCTTAATTACATGCTTGTTGATATGAATGGAAAATGCAACGATAACAGCGACAGAAGCGCACGAGCGCCGATCGCATCGCAACGAGTGGTGCATTGAACCAAACTGCATCGCGTTTGACGAACAACGAAGATTAATTTCCAATTAATTAAATGGATAATAGTTTGTTAGGTAAACAAACAATTTTAATTACAGCGTTTAGATCGTACGCACAATGCCGAACGCATTCGGGATAAGAAAAAGAGGGATATGCTGGGCCAATTTTCACATTATCAACTGACCAAACCGACAATTACCCGGACAAACGCAAATCGACGCTTAAAGGTTATGAAAATGGATCTTGTTTTCAATTTGTTGTCCAAATTCGGAGCTCTTCGCTCGCCTTTTTCCAAGTATTTTTCCGAGTCATTCTTAATTTTCTGCATGAAGTCGAGCGATCGTTCAGTCAAGATGTGAGAAAATGATTATTTTATAATAAATTTATGCGAAAAATTAAAACATTTTCTTCTTCAATTCCAAATGAGATGGTCTATTTTAAGCCATTTAGTTCCATTTCGTTAACTTGCCTCTGTCGTAAAACCGCAGACCGCAGTTTCATCATCGCTCTGCTCAAATGCTTCGTATTTATTCAAATTATATCCAATTCAAATTGGCTATTCGTTACCGTTCGTGTCAATGTAAGCCAGTTAGTTGAGGTTAGGCCATAATCGTGGACAGAGGTCAAACGATAATTCATTTATGAATATATATTTTTTGTTCGCGATGCGTTTGCCCAATGGATGAATAAACGATGTGCGCACACGTTTAAAAACCTCATCCTATCTTATCACCCGATCTAATCAAATATAATAACTTGTGTTGCGTACACGCACATTCACCAAGAATGAAATGAGTGAACACACACTCCCAAATTTTTTTTATTCTTTTCCCGTTTCTGTTTGCTCCTTCTCCACCTCACTCACCATTTGGACGTGTGTATTTTCATTCGGTGAAAATGAATTTCATATTAATCGAATGGGATCTGTTTCGGTTGGATTGGAATAATTTTATTAATTCGAGTACGTGCGCGCACGCGTTCGCTCGTTCGTATTGCTCGTTCACAGGCGGTGAGCGATGGGGAATATGAAGAGGAATAAACCACTAAAAATAGCAATAAATTCATGGCTTGGATTGATCAAAACGAACGATAAAACCAAAAGAGAATTAAAAAGTTAAACAATTTATGGTATTATAATATGTCGTAAGGTGAGTGTGAGCACCCGCGATGCATTCAATTGGGTTGTTCATTTGTTCGGTTGTTTTTTTTACAGACTGAAATTTGCTGGCTTGTTTTTTTTCCTCTGGTGTGGTAACATTATGTTTTAATTTTATTCATTGGATTCACTTCAACGAGCCACGACAACGGTGTGGATTCGATAACAAGATATTGATTTTATCGCTGTTCAAACCAATTCGAAATTGATTATTAGCGCGTGCTCTGTCCGGTTAACATGATCAGAAGCGTTAAATATGTGGTTGATTGCAATTTTATTTCTATTTGGTTATTGATTAATTTATTTGTTGTTTCATTTTTTTCTCCAATTTTGATTTTCTTTTATTTTTATTGATATTTTTTCCTTTTTTTTCTTTTTCTTTCGGACTAAAGTCAAATTGGAAGGTTCAATCGTGTCAAAGAAGAAGAAAAAAACTTACCGTGAAATCATGGCGGCATCTTGAAGCGAGCTTGGATCGGTCAATTGTGCATTTGGTAGGAATGGCGTGTTGATCAATTCATCTTTTTTGTTTTCCGATCGACTTAAAATACTGCTAATGGAGAAGCTCGTGAAGCCAGCATTCGTTCTCCCTTGATCGGATGATGTTGATTCGGTTTTGGCTGGACTAACACTGGCTCGTTCGCTTGCACTTCGGTCAAAAGCGGGCGATCGACTCTGAATTGGTGTTGATGTTAAACGCTCTCGAGATTCATTCGAGTGTCGTGGCGATGGCTCAGGGCTTGAAACCACATCAATATCCTCATCGTGCTCGTGAATCGACATCTTTGCTCTTTTTTTTGCAAAAATGTTATTTTCCAATCAAAATGTTTAAAAACTTCACAAATTATCAGTTTTTCGTTCCGAAATTCAGTGATCGATTCTTGAAATTCCTTCGAAAAATATCACTTTACTTCTGACTTCTTTTTTCACTATCACGAAAACACTTCAGAATACACTTGAAAAAAGTATGATAAAATAATCGCAATCACTAACAGTTTTTCTTCCTCGCAAATGTTGTGCAAAAAACAGGAGAACGGTGTCAGAAAAGTGTGCGTCAACCTTCGGCAACGTTCACGTTTGTAATGGTCTCGGATGATCCTCGTTGAAAGAATTTCAACCCTCGTTGTCAGTCTATTTTTACATCATTTTCATCATACGTTCCGTTTTCACCCATATATGAAGTGAGAGCGAACTCTTCGCATGCATTCAATTTCATATTGTATCCTTTTGTATTCTGTATCGTATTTTCTCTCGCTCTCGCTCATCACACATGCCCACCGAAAAGGGACACCGAATGAAAATAGAGAAAATAGTATATACGTGAACGTGTAAGTGGTTGTAATTTATTCAATGCCTTTGTCTGCTTTATTGTTATTGCTATTGTTGATGCGGCTAGTTTTTGTTGTGTGTGCGGTGTGTGCATTTTTTTCTGTCGCTCTCGCTCTCTCGCTCGCACTTTTCCATTCGTTCTGTCAGTCTGAAGTAGATCAAGAAGAATAACCGTAACCAAATAAGCTAACACACTGTTGGGATTTATTGAAGAGGCGTGACTTATGCTCTCTATTCCGTGTTCACTATTTCAGTTTCGATTGTTGTTTTCACATATTGTTAAAAGGATATTCAAGCTAATAACTGGTGTGTATTGTAGTGGAATGCTAGTTTTGCGATGAACGATCCACTCCTCCGATTGTTGGAACTGACACACACATACAAGCACAAGCACACGCAGACACACATGCGAATAGACAGCACATTTGGAATATTTTTAATTATTACATCGTATTTATCATAATAATTTAGGAGCACATTTCTAATCTACATGCTATAATAAATGAGACAGCACGATACCGAAATGAAGCAACGTGTTGCAAAAGGCCAACTGGAAACTCTAACTCGAATGATATTCACACACGCTAAAACGACGTAACAATGGCTTAGAATAAATGAAATGTATGTTAAATAGATAGACCGAAGTGACCGAAGACAATTATTTGCCACTTAAATTTAATTAAATAAATGAACATTTTTATTGTGCCAACAAATGCAATGCTGACCGCTTTGCTTGGTCAGTTCAGCGTGTGCAAATGAACGCGAAGAAGGCCAGGTAGAGAAAAGACGAAAATTAATGAATTCACTGTGTGTGTGTGTGTGTCACATTTCCTGGGAAAGTTATTGAAGTTTTTTTTGTTCTGTTTTGCAATTTTCCACGTTTCAGATTTCATTGTTGCCAATTTTTGTGTCAACGACAGTTTGCCCATTATATCAACTTAATTATACGGAATGCGACCATCAAAATAGATATGGAAGATGACATCAACGCGTGCAATCACACGCTCATTCACGAGTGTTACACTCACTTCCCATCCTCCAAACCAATCAATTGTAATCAAAGCAGCGGGTTAATCGCAAACATGAAAGAGATTTTACCAATTTAGTATTATTCACGCCAACTGTCTTGTGTCGATGCATTGGAAGATGATACTTTTGCACGATATATTCGCCCTTTCTATTGAATGAACAGCAAAACGCCTACCAAAAACATTGCACTCAGAACACTGATTTTTCCACCGAGTTTTTATGATATTTTTGGGCATTTTAGTACTTCATCGCACCGATATTTGTGTTTCTCTGTAGTGAAATTTACATGAAATTTTTTGTTGATTTCAACCTGTGCTTCTCTCCCATAAGAACCAATGTATTTGACGTGACAGTGAATAGCGGTAGCGACTAAATAGGATCTGCGGTATATTTAGCAACTATTCAGCGGCGCGAATTTAAATATTTGACATTTAGTAGTTCAAACTATTTCGCAATAGTACGTAAGTTATAAGTGTCACACACAGCGTGCTTGTTACACATTTATATTCTCTTTCGTTATTGAATAAATTATATTTTTATGAAAATGCCCACAAAACGGTATTGCAAAATTAAATTTTGTGAACATGAATTTGGTACTTTTTTGGAAAATATTTCATTCTTCAAGTAAGTTTTAAAATTTTCACACATTTTCCCCAAAACGCAAATGAAGTATGTTAAGCAACATTGAATATATCGTTTTGGTTCGAACCATAATGATCATTATTGAAAAAAATTGTTTGGATGTTTATTAAAATAAAAAACACATTTACACAGAGTACCTAAAGAAGCTGAATTGTGGAACGTTGACAGAATGTCATGTAGTTCTGACAATCAACCACGCTGTCTAATTAGGCGCTACCGCTATCTCGCGCCGCTCAAAAGCACAAGTTGGTTGATTTATGTCGAAATTTTTTCGTTTGGAAACTTTTCCATTTCATACACAACAGTTTGATTGATTTATTTTCCTGGCTGTTTGCTCTCGATGCCAGTTTTATTTCCCACGTGTTGCGAATGTTTCAATCACTTTATGTAAATAATAAATGCTTCCTATTAGAAAGATGATGCTGATAGAGTCAAGTTGACATTTACTTGACAAAGTGAAGGTAATTATGTTTAGCTTCGTTATTCGATTTTACAAAATTTACATAGTTCGTCCAGTTACACAATTATGTAACTCAAAACTATGATAGTGGATGAAATTCGCTATCTAATTAATCCATAATACTTACAAGCGTTCTTCCTAAGTACCATTTCCCAGAAGGCTCATTTAAAATGCAAACCGTAACTGTCACTCGATTTTTCATCAACAGTTGTGAAAAATTGAATTTCATTTCACAATTCATTAATTGTGCTAGCTGGAATGATTGAAATATAGCGCGTTAAACAATGTTCACGTTCATAAATACTCTTCATACTAAATTTATTATGACGAAAGTTAATAGAGATCGACAGAACAGGACTTTATCTAAAAGCTCAACACATTTGTGTCGATTTTCTTTCGAAATCAATATTATTGATTTATATAAATAAACTTGTAAAATTATTATAAATCGGTTGAAATATATTGTGAAAGTATAACAACAAGAATCGAACGATAAACCATAAATTGAATTCAAGTAAATTGAATCAATTGGGATATTCCATATTTGGCTCACAAACGCATGCCTTATTCCTGTGCAGCTCTGCCCAAGCTTCTGATACTTTATACTCATGTAAACAAACAACCAAAAACCTGTAAACACTACCATTGCTACGGTATAGCAACATTGAATTTGGATACATTTACATAAGTCATAAATTAGTATCGTTCAGGCCATATAGAATGGTCTTAACTAATTTTCACTATATAAAACATTTATCATTTGTACAATTTCGCCTAATTATGAATATTTATTTGTAGTTTCTTCAAATTACCTTTAGCTACTACATGTCATGTAGTACATGATACCCTGGCACTACAATAATTTGTAAATTGTCATTGAATCAACTAATTTTCGCTAGTTCTGCGAAATAAAATTCCGCAATCATGTTTATTAAAACTTTGTAACGAAAATTACAAATTGTTTTCAATTATATTCATTTTCTACAAACTTTTCACTGTACATTACATAAATAGAAAACAGAACAAACAACAACTGAATTAGTGAAGATTTAAAATGATTTAGAGAAATTTCGTTTTCAAATTTGCTTTTGTTTTGTCCTTGTTAGAGTTCACAAATCGCCACGGGAATGGTGTTCTGGTCTAGACCAATGCACACAAATTTTAAAGTTGAGTTGATGCTAGCCTTGGGAAATTACGTTGTAATATTTCCATTGGTGCATTCTTATGAAATAGTTTTACACACCGATTTGAATCGTACCTATATGTATACACGGCTCATATTGTTCAAATCCAAACAATATTTTACTATCGATTAAAAATATTGAAACAACTTACTGCAGCGTTTGTGTGTGTGCGATTTTTTCCAGTTAAAAAGAATTTAATTCTGAGTTCGTTGTCATGCAAAAAGGATGCGTCTCTTTTCGCATCTCAAAGTATTCAACTTCTGAATAACATTAGTGGAGAGTAAGTGTTTGAATTAAGTTCAAGAAAATGTGGTGTTGAAGCGAGAAAAGTTGAAAGCAAGAAATGGATAAGATTCGAAAAGTTCCTGTTTGCCTTTGCATTTGCTGACCCGACGAAACTGGCCCTAGGATAGACGATCTCACACTAAGTATTTCTATTGCTACACTTTATATCTACTTCAAGTTACAGAGTTGTTGGTTTTATTTCTTCCAATTGAAATATGAATCAAATTGAAAGGAAGAGTCCATGCAATGTATTTGGTTAGAGCAATTTGGGTATTTGAACTTGGCAGAATTCCATTTATATTCGACGTGAACGCAATTTCGCCCATGTGAGTTGTCTGAAATTAAGATCATAAATTCATGTTATTCAAAACCTTGTTTGCAGTCCCATCGAACATGGTTTTCGGAAAATTATGACCGAGGATAAACTATTTACTATCCAAAAACAAATTGATGAACAGTTTTATTTATCTCTATTTCGTCCACCCATCCTAATACTTGTGCCACACAAGCAATGCGAAAACGCCATGGCGATGGAACAATGAAAACATCAAACATCAAAATGATTAGCTAAAATAAATGCAGCAGCGCCGATCCAATTTCTATCTGGTGTTTTTATTACTATTATTAAGAATTGTTATTCGTTTTCGTACGTATTCAAAATGAGCCTGATGGGTGGTGCTTATTGTTTGTCGAGAGAATATGATGAGGATAATGAATACGTTTGGCGCGCTAATAGTACGTTGGGAAATCGGTCTTTTACAAAGGAGAAAACGCACACAAAACATTCAAACACAAGCACACACACACACGAAGACCGAAGAAGAGTAATAAAAAAAGCACAGTGGGAACATCAACCGAAAACAATATATCAAAAATCGTTGACTGATGGCTGAGGTGCGCGTGTTCCCTAAATTATATTACCGTGAATAAAAGCCTGAATGCGATGAGTTTATGCAGACAAGGAAAACCATTCTGCTTGAACTGCTAGGGAAAATCACACACACTAAACACATTACAAGCAAACAATACACGAATCGTATCCACTAATCAAAATTGAAACTGTTTTTTTTCCTTCTGCTAGTTTTTGGTTCGTAAACATTGTTATTGTTGCTGTTTTCATTTCTCGTTC